ACACACACACACACACAAACACAAACTACAATGATTAAGTATATAAAAGCGTGTGTATCAGTTTAAATGTTTTACGCTCTCATCGTCACAATCTGAATCATTCAGGTGGTGGGTTGGTTCAAAGTCAGGGCTAACCCTGGTTGAGTAGGTTACATCATCCCAGCAGACAGGCGAAGGCACTGGATAAATAATATTATTATTATACTTCTCAAATGGGAATCGAACTCACAGCATTCCGTGCCACTATACCACAGACAATGATACAGTTAACGAAATTTTAGATTCAAAATATGTAAGATAGCAGCATTTAGTAAGTATTATTTAGGTCGTGTATGTTATGGTTTGCCGCTCTTTGCAACGTCCAACTCCTGAAGTACGAGACAAATTTTGAGGGTGGGGTGGGTGGGTAATCGATCACCTTAGACGATGTAAGATTAAGTCAGTCCTGGTTTCAATCTTTATAACCTGTGCCAAAATTCTTAAAGATACAAACTATAAGCTCATACCATGGCCGACCTCGAATCCAAAGTAAGTAATTTGGAAATAAGGAATGACGCTTATACTTCATGGAAGTAAGCGCGAAGTGAATTGTATTTCTTTATCATGGGGCTATTTTCGCAACAAGATTGGTGACAGCAGTTAAAGGCTAATCCATGACGAAAAGACGTAAGACGCTAATGAAAAGACAGAAGACACTTATGAAAAGATAGAAGGTGCTAGTGCGTCGTTGCACATGGTATTTAAAAATAATAACAATGGAAGACTTTTATTGTAACGAGTTTTAATATCCTTTCTTTTGCAGTGAACGTCAGAGCTGGATGGGAGCTCTTTGCAGATGCGAGATATACAACGTGTATGTACACCGAAGTGAAAGGACAATAACTTGTCGTCAGGATGACGTGGTGGTTGAGGTGATGTGAAGAGAGACGTCAACGAAGTATGCAGTCGTTGAACTCATGTCGTCTGTTTTAGTTTCAGTAAGAATTTTATGGTGCTTGCAACACAAAAAAGGTTGTATAAGTAAGGAAGGTTCCGTAGATGTTTGATAGGAAAAAAGGAGCAAATCACATCAGAGCACCCGCCAACCACACAGGAAATCATGTCTTCGCAGACAGACGACAGATGCAGTTTCCAAAATCTTACTGGTAATATAGATAATACTTTAAGCCTTTATACAATGCGAAGGCTGAACACATGACGTAAGCAATAAAACTTTAGAAGAGAAATAAGACCAGAAAAATTTCAAGAATCCGCACAACAAAATATCACATAATAATTCATACAAGGCTGTTGTGACATACTCGATACATGGATTTAACATAATATTACATATTATATCAATTAGTGTACTAAACGCAGATATCAAGACGTGATTGAAGGATACAGGATTACATACGATTGCTATTTCTGAGCATGGACACGACAACGTGAGTGCCACGACCTTGATACTGACAAGAACCAACGTATTTGATACCAGGGCTGTAATAATGTGCATCTGTCATTATTACCTCTTAACTCCAGCCTCGTCTGCAGGAACCAAGTATGGCACGGTGGACAAATAATTCATTGCGTGGATATAGGACACCAAGTTATGTTCATATTTGGTAAACCTATTTTCGTTAGGTAAGTCAAACTCACTGTTTCTCTGTGAACTTCTGTGTTAAAATTCGTCGAACGTAGCAACAACGCAAACGGATTCCAAACACACAATCGATACCAGGCGTAACTGGAATCAGTCCGGACGATACCGATCAAGAAAGCTGAGACATTCATATTTCGAAGGAAGTGGGGGAAGTCCGTCTGTGTGTTGTTTCGAGGTGGTTGTGGATAGGGAGGGGGTCAACGCCCCTCAACTGAGGAGAACGTACAATAAAATAACTCTACTTCCTTTATTGTGTCACCGTCGTGTCTTTCTCAGTGATGTCAACAGCTTGGAGTCTGCAAGTTTGTGAACTAGTTTTTTTCGACCCTAAATCGTTCGTGAACATACTGCTCTCACACATACAGCAGCTATGGTGAGTGGAAATTATAAAGAGAATATAAGTGAAGTCACTTCCGGCATGGATGACCGCAGAGTGAATAATGATATGGCGGATGATGATGGTTCTTACTACATGGTAACTACAGCGTTCTCGGGCAACGACAGTTATGATTATAACCAAACCAACGGATCGACGCAATCGTTTGACAATCCGTTTAACCACACGTCAGTCAAGATTTTATTCATCTCACTCTACACAATTATCTTCCTGATCTGCTGTATCGGTGAGTACATACGTGTGTGTGTGTGTGTGTGTGTGTGTGTGTGTGTGTGTGTGTGTG